GCACCCACCCCTGATTTGGAATCGGAAATGAGGGACGCAGAGCACGGCGGACTGCGCAGGATCCCTTCCAAGGTTGGGTGGGGGCTGGGGCAGCGGGAGCCACGTCCAGTGCCCAGCAATGGGGGAGACAGGCTGTCGCCGTGGGTCAAGGTTCATGGGACAATTTTGGCCCCCATTTTTGGCTGGGTAGCCTCTAAGCTTTGTTCTCAAGCCTACCTGAAGATTCTGTGAGCTCTGAATTCCTTTTACTAAATTCCTCTTCTTTTTTTTTTTTTTTTAAGATTTTATTTATTTATTTGACAGAGAGAGACACAGTGAGAGAGGGAACACAAGCAGGGGGAGTGGGAGAGGGAGAAGCAGGCTTCCCGTGGAGCAGGGAGACTGATGCGGCGCTTGATCCCAGGACCCTGGGACCATGACCCGAGCGGAAGGCAGACGCTCAACCGACTGAGCCACCCAGGCGTCCCTTAATAAATTTCTCTTCTGCTTACATTAGCTAACGTCTGTTTCTGTTGCTTGCAAAGAGCTTTGACCCCTACCGTGCGTGAGCAGACTTCAGCCTGTGAGCACTAACAGAGCCCCATGACCACCGTGGAGGGTCCACTGTCCCATGCTGCAGGGTCTTCACTGTGGTACCCAGGGGTGCCCACACTGCCAGGTGCCTTGTATATGCTCGGGAATCAATTTGCCCATGTTCTTCAAAGCCAGCCTCCTGCCCTGGGGCCAGAGCCCTCCAGGAGAACGTGTCTCTGCTGCAAGGCTCTTATCATGGGGACCACACCTTGTCATTGGGGCCATAGTAAGGATGCTGGGGTCCAGAGTCCCATAAAGTCTTTTCTGAACACTGCTCCTTCGGCATCTCACCCAGTCTCTCTCTTAGGATGGGTGGGCTAGACCGATGCCCCTCTGATCTGTCCCTTTACCTGCGGACCTCGGAGGAAATACACTCACATTCACACACACTCGCATATCCCTTCAGCATATCCTTCATATCCCATATCCTTCAGCAAAAGAAAACAAAGCCCCATGTTTGGCTGGCTGCAAATGCCATGACCCGGCCCTGCTAGGAAGCTTCTAGGCCTCCACTTCTGCCTACTTGAGAGCCCCATTTCAGTGACGTGATGGGAAAGGCCTTGTGTTCAGAGCACAGACACCCGAGCGTGTGCTCACCAAGCTGCATGGCTTTGGAGGAGGTTGCTTCCTCGCTGGCCCAGATTACTTGGTTATCACAAAGGTTTTCCCAGGAGTGAAGCTTTACGGTGCCAAGAACTTGCCCTCAGAGCCCTGTCTGTAGCAGCATCCGGTCCCGTGAGAAGCGTGGAGTGTCTGAATGCCTGGGAGACCTGGCCAGCCTCCTCTGACCTTGAACCGAGACCCTGGAGGGGTGGGGGGGGGCTTCCTGGATCTGACTCCTCCTCTACCCTTGCATATTTGGCTGTTCGGAAAATGTCCTTGAGAATGGGTGGCCCTCCGGATGGTCAAAGAAGAAGGCGGGGATCGGATTCTCATTGTCAGGCCCTCCATCTGTCTGGGTGTAGCAAACCCACCGTCCTCCCCACGCAGGCTTCCTGCCACCCCCTCCCCCGGGGGGGGGGTCCTCCAGGTCCACAGACAGATGCCTTCCCCACTGGCCAGCTGTCAAGCCCGCGAGCTGGTGGCTCTGCGCATCACCACGTGACCTGGGCCAGGCAGTACCTGTCAACGTCAGCTGCCACAGCTCGGCGACGGGCAGCAGCCTCACACGCGTCCCCGTGCGTCCGCAGTGGGGCCCGAGAGCGTGGCATCCAGCGCTTCTCCCCGACCTGCTGTCCCACTGGCCCGCGGGGCTGCACACCCCCACACCACGGCTGTCAGCGCAGCTCCCACCTGCGCCCCCAAACTTCCCCCGGAGGGGGGCCCCCCGGGGTTCTCGCTGAAAAGCTGAAGGCCCACGGAATATTCCCAGCACCCAGCAGGCTGTGGGGGCTTCAGAAAGCTAGCAGTCGTCATTGTGCACCCCACCACAGTTTCTAAAGCATCTGTGGGGAGGGGAAGGAAGCTTCTGGTAGCAGCTACATTTGGGCACCCACTGCGAGTGACTCGCTTCCACGCCCAAAGCCTGGCTTCCAGTGAGGGGACAGGTGGGCCGCCTCCAGGAGAGCCTGGCAGAAGTTGGCTTCGGGGACACGACAGGGGCAGCCTCGGCCTCCCCGTGAGGCCGTACAGTGGGTCGCCTGACCCAACAGGGGGCTGCTCCTGGAGAAGGGTCCTGAGGAGGCCTGTCCAGGGCCAAGCAGGAGGAGGCAAGAGCCAGAGCCTGTGACTATGTCAAGTCCCGACTCCTAGCTGGGCCCCTGTTCCCTCTGCGCCAGAATCAAGGCAGCTACTTGTCGCCCGCAGAGCGCTTTATGCCCACCATCCTGGGTAGCCCACAGCCTGGGTCCTGCCACTCGCTTCTGCTCAGAATGGTCAGGTGGCCTCGCAGCCCAGCGCAGGAGGCAGCCTTGGGTGTGGAGAGCCGGGAATGAGCCCAGGCAGTCTGACCCCAGAGCTCAGGCCCCGCCGGGGGGAAGAGAGGGCGCTGGGCTGAGGCTGGCTGGGGCCTGACCGAGGACTCAAGTCTCAGAAGGGCGAGGCGAAATGAAGCCCCAGTACCCACGCCCACACTCACCCGACAGCAAAGAGGGGGAGTGACAGGGCAAAGGCCTTCGCTTCAACGGAGGGTTCAGCAACCTCAGTAGCCACAGGGTGGGGAGTATCCACCCCTCCTGCCCTGGGGACACAGAGTCCCCTAATTGAGGAGGAGGACAGAGAAGGGCTCCTTAGCATGGTAGGAAAACCTAGCCAACCCGCCTTCCCCATGGGCTTGCCCACCTCACAGCCTCACTTGTCCGTCCCCGCTGACCCCCGACCAGGCCTTGAGCTGGCCCCTGCACTGTGTCCTGGCCCACAGCCTTGCCTCCTTCAGCCCCCACCACTGGCCATGCTGCCCATTTCAAGGGCCAGCTCACACTTGCCCTCCCCCACTGGGCCTGCCCCGAGTAACTCAGTGGGGTGGGCAGAGGTCAGGAAGGCGGTTATGACTCGGAGTCAACTCACATCCCCCCCCAGGCAGCCGCCACCGTGGGCTCCCACGCCAGCCCTTACCAACAGGCGCCCACCCACAGCCCTTGCTGCTGTGTGACCTGGGGCGAGTGGCTCTGCCTCTCTGTGTCTGTCTCCTCATCAGAAGTTGGGAAATTCATGCTCTGTACCAGGCAGGAGTTCCAGAACCACCTAAGCTAGGCATTGGCCCCACCTTCCTGCTACCACATGCCCTGGGTCACCCCGTCCTTACACAGTCCTTCGGGCTGGGACCCAGGATCCAAACGGGGAGGCTGGGATGGGCTGCCTGGAGAGGGGCCGAAGGGGGTGAAGGCAGGGGCTAAAGGAAAGAGAAGGGTGCTGCTCAGCCCCCTTCCCTCGGGTGCGGTCCAGAGCTCCAGCTCAGGAAACATCATGGGGTGGCCCCAGCTCACATGGCCTGGAAACGGGGTGCAGGACAATGGGAGGCGGAGGAGACTGAGAAAGGGTGTGATGAGGCTCCAGTGTCCCCAACACCATATCCCCTACTGAGTCAGACAGAGGAGGGGTGAGCTATAAAAGGATACTGGTGGGGAAGAAGGACACGGACACGTGCAGTGGTGTGTGTGTGTCTGTCCGTCTGTCTTGTACGTCTCTGCACATCTGTTTGGGTGTGTCTGTGTGTCTGTGTCTAAGCACGTTGCATGTCTGTAAGTCTGCCTCTGTGTCTGTGTGTCTGTCTGCATGTACAAGCGTTCGGGTGTTTTGGTCTCCAGCGCGCTTGTGTTAGTCTGTGTGTACTTGTCTGTTGGCACGTACGTGTTAGCACGTGTGTCTGTGTATTTGGGGGGGACTGTGGGCGGGAGGGGACCTGTCCATCCCCTCCCCCACCTCCTCACGGCCAGGCCACAGTTGGGACCCAGCGCAGTTGGCAAATCTCTGATTTGGTAACTCACCCCTAACGCTGGAGGCCATGGACCTGCAGGACCCACCCACAGCCTGTGGGGCTGTCACTGGGTCCGAGTCTGGCTGGGTTTGCAGCCGAGAGACTCTGTGTCCCCTCCTCCCCTCCTCCAGGGCTGGAGCCAGCTGGAGCCACCCACGTCCCACATGGATCCCCAGCCAGGCCGAGCGAGGACGCTGCCACGGAGGGGGAGGGGGTGGGGGGCAGCTGCTAGACCACTGAGTCTGCCCCTCAGCATGCCGGCTGGCCTGGAAGGTGCTGGAGACATCCCAGCCTTGGGCTGCGGCTGCCTCTCTACCCTTAGGACCTCAAGCAACTGAGGCACACTCTCTGGGTCCAGGTTCCCCTTTATAAGACGAGGAGCTGGTGCTGGCAGGAACACAGCATACGGTTGTGTAGTGTGCACTGTGCAAATGCACCTGCTGGAGGTGAGGGAAGGCACTGAGAGGCAGCCTGAGTTCCGCCCTGCAGGCTGAGGGACCCCGTGTCAGGCGGCAGCGTCTGGAGGAAGGGATGCATTCTTCCCACAAGAAGTTTGCTCTTTAGGGACTGTGCTTGGGGGTGGGGGGAATCCTTGTTCTAATCCTCACAAAAGGGCTGCCCTGAGGCATGAGCCTTTTCAACCAGCCCCTGCCCCTCCCTGGCTCAGTGTAAAGGCGTCCATCTGTCACAGACCCTCGTCCGTCTGTCTCTAGAGAGAGATCTCTGTGACTGCCTGCCCCTCTGCCCCTCTCTGCCTCTCCCCACTCTGTCCCGCCTGCTCCCTGCCAGGGCTCCTGGCCTTCCACACCGACTGAGCACTCAGCACCAACTGTAGGAGACCCCCTGACAGGAGGGGAATCTGTGTCCTTGTCCCTAGTGTCACCGTGAGTCCAACCCGACCTTCCTGACTCCAAAGCTGGCCCGGGGCCCCTCCACTCCTGCATGCTCGCCCTGCACCACCCCCCATCCTTTTCCCAGCTCCCCTGCCAGTGACTGGACACATGGGCCGCTTCACTGCTCTTTATTTCATTAGGAAAGTAGTCAGGGGAGTCTGGGCAGGGACGGGGTGGGGGTAGGGACTGTAGCCGGCTCCTGTCCTGTCCGTTGGGTTGGCAAACCTGGAAGGAACAGAGATGAGACCCGAGGGGTTCCCAGGGGGAGGGGGCTTCAGTGCACTCCCCCAGCCCTGAGAGCCCCACCCCCCCGGTCTCCCACCCCTCACTCTGAGGCTGGGTCCCCAGCAGGGCTTGCTTGACCCAGGGCTGGGGATGTGGGGCTGGCCCATGCGGGGCGCCCCTTACCCAGTCTCAGGCTCAGTTGGGTGTCATGAAGTAGCTGCTGTGAGGCGGGGCTTGGTAGAAGGGGTCCACGGAGATCAGGGTTCTGCAGGGAGGGGAGGGGTGGACGTGAGGGGGATGTGGGGCAAGGTGGGACCTGCTCTTCTGCCTGCCCCTCCCCTGGGGCAGCCCTCAGCCAAGCCACATTCTTTGCCTGCCAAATCTGGGCCATTGTCTTAGAAATATAATTTTTGAGGAATTGAATTGAGCCGAAAGGAGTCAGAGTGAGGCAGAACCACAGTCCATTCAACTCTGTCCCCACCCCCCCCACCCCGCAGCCTGGCAGGGAGCAGGTGTGGAGCCGGCCTCTGGGATGGGAACGAGGCGTTGGGGGGGGGGGCGGGGGGCAGCCATGCAGGCGGAGGGGTCGCTGGGGAGAGAGCCGGAAAAGCTGCGAGCAAGCCAGAGAGAAGAAATAGGCCTCTCAGACAGACGGAGGGAGGGAAGAAGCTGGGGAAAGGCCTGGATGCCGCAAAGGACAGAGCGGGAGGGAGGGCCGGCTACCTTCCCACGTGGGGGTGCAGGTGCTGTAGGCTCTCCGTGGGGTTGGGGGTGGCCTCCATGTGGGTGACCGGCTGGTTGAGGGCATAGCCTCCGGGCTTCTGCGGCTGGATGCCACCTCGAGTCCAGCCTTCTCGGTCCAGACCCTTAGGGATATTCTCGAAGTACCTGCAGCACGGGGTGGGGGCGGGGGGGGCTGTTGCTGGTGATAAGCTGGCCTCCACCCACCTCTGCAGCCTCTCTGCCCTTCTTGGACAGGAATCTTGGCTCCAGCAGAGCACACATGGCCTCAGATCCCTCCAGCCTCCTTGCTTTTGCTCATGCTGTGTCCTCTGTCCTGAGCCCCAGTCCGCTTGGGGAATGCTGCTCACTCGGGAAGCCTGCCCTGGCTCTGCCCCGGAGCTGGACGGCCCTCCTTCGCCCAGCCCCCTGATGCTGCTCCAGCACTGGGGAGCCGAAAGGACGGTCTGCGCGCCGCCTCCCTCCCTGGCCCATGAACTTCTTAGGGGTGGGGGAGTGGAGACCCTGGCTCATTCATTTCTCTCTGGGCATTCCACTTTGCTTCCATTTTGCTGATGCTCCCTGAGCACTGGGCCGGGTTCTGAAAGGGCCACCGATGAGTAAGATGTGGGCCCCGCCCTTGAGCTTATGAAGTGGGGGTGCAGAGAGGTACATGAGGAAGTCAGTGATTACAACCCCTGGGGGAGGAGCCGTGCGCCTGACTCCTGGCAGGAGCTCGGGAAAGCCGACAGGCGGGCGGGAGAAGGACCCTGTAGACATGGCTGGGGCCGAGGGTCTGCCGGAGCTGCCGGAGCTGCCGGAGGAGGGCGTCTGCCCAGGGAGGGACAGGGACACTGTTGTCCCCCGACACCCAGCGTGAGTCTCTGCCCCTCCCCCTCCCCCCTCGTGGGGACTGGAGCAGCCACCTGTGTCACGGACCTGTGATGTGTCTCGGTCGCCACTTCTCCCGTCTGAGCCTCAAGGTCCCCATCCCAAAGAGGGGGGCCAGCCCCAAGGAAGGGAGGCAACTTGGGAGACCAAGGAGTGGGGGGCCAGTGTCCTGGGACACAGGTGACACACGCTGACACAGATGACAGATGTCGTGCAAGGAGGCTCTATCCCAGTCCTGCAATGCCCTCCCCATCCAGTCCTGGCCCCGGGAGTCCTCCCCATGGCTCTCGGGCCACTTCCTCCTGGAAGCCTTCCCGGATGCTCAGCAAAGAGCTTACTTTCTTGGGAACCCAGAGCCCCCCCACCATGGACTGGACGTAGTATCTTCGCAGATGCCATGTTGCTCCACCCAGACGCCCTTCAGCCCCTTATTTGTTCCCTGCCCACCAGCCTGGGCACAGCATCAGGGAGAAGCGCAGAGGTCGGCTGCCCTTGGGCTGCTGGGGCTTGCTTTGCCTGTAGCAAGGAGGTGTCTGGGATTTTAGTATGGTCCTCGGGGACTGCCCTTAACTACTGACCGATGGCTGTGGGGGTACCAGTCCCCCAGCTCGCTCTCCCCTTGGCCAGGATCATTCTGAGTCGTGTGTTTGCACTGTTTTCTAGAGCCTCCCCATGGGATATCTCTTTAATAACACGCTGGCTTTGGGCTGCCTTCCTTTTCCCACACAACTTCCCAGCTCCCCCACACTCCCCAGTAAGAGGCTCGCGCTCAGATCCTTGGCTCAGGGGCTGCTTCTGGGGGATCACACTAACTCAGTGTTGGTCTACTTCACAGGCTGTAAGCTCATCACTTGTCCCAGTGTCTGGCTTCACAGCCCTGGATTTGGACAGCGAAGGGGGGTGCTCACCCTTGGTTGTAGGTGGTCAGGTACCGATTATCCATGTCAGGGTCATAAGGGTTCCGGAAGTAGCTGGGGTTGTTGAGGCTGAACCCCGAGGGCTCCTGCACCAGAGGTACGGAGGGGACTTGTGAGGTCAGGAGGGGGTGGAGATTTGGGAGTGGGGCTGGGCACCCCAGCCTCACCTTGTTCCCCACGGTCTCCCGGCCCAGCAAGGCGACGTTCGTCTGTTGCATGCGCTGCGGGGGCTGGAACTGCCGGTGGCTCATGCTGCTCGGTTCTGGGCCAGGAGGGGGCACCTGCAGGGGACGGAGCCACAGAAAGGCGGTGGGTGGCCAGGGTGAGGCGGCAAGGACAGAGGGAGGGCAGGCAGAGGCACACGCGGCCCCAACTTGCCCCCAGCCCCAGGACCTCATCCTTACCCCTCCAGGCACACGGAATTCCCTGGGTCAAAGACACCCCTCACTTTCCAGTTCCTGGGCCTTCGCCCCTCCCCTGGAGGGTCCAAATATCCTGATCCTTCCCATCCTTCAGTGCGCAAGTGCGTCTGCGTCCAAGGAACCTCCCTGCCCCCTCCCGTGGGAACGCCCCGGCTCTGAGGGAACCCCCCCACCGAAGGCCACTCACTCTGGGGTTCAGGGTCCTCTCCGTCACCCGGTTGTAGCCCGTTTCCCGCTCGGAGCCTCTGGCCAGCACAGGCAGGAACTCGTCCCCCTAAGGCCGCAGATGAGCCCCTGGCACCAGAGCATAGCTGCGCCTCCCGCCGTCCTCCAGGTACTGTCCCAACTGCCCCGAGGAAGGACCCCAGGCCCTGGGATCAGACCGCCCTCCACCCCCAGCGGCTCAGCTTACATGAGGGTGGGGCATGGGGAGGAAGTCGGACCTGGTGACACTCTGGCCGGGGAGGAGGACCTGGAAAGAGGCCCGCAGAAGCACGTCAGCCCGGCAGAGGCAGCTGCCCCGGGGTCCTGAGCGCAGAAGGGGCTCACGACACGTGCGTATGATTGGGGTAACCGAGGAAAGGAAGAGTTTGGGGAGTAACGATGCTGAGTGAGAACCAGCAGGCCAGGGCCCTCGCCCAGACTCTGAGTAACGTTGGCTCTGCCCCTTCTCCTCTTTGGACCTCAGTCTTCTCATCCGTAAACTGGGGGAGCTGGACCAAAGCAGTGGTTTTTACCCACACTCGTTCATCTCGTGTTTGAACACAGGGTTCGGCAACTCACACATTTTAAGCTAGAAGTCACCCTGAGATTCTAGTGGGCACAGGCCTGACTTACCGGGTCCCCAGGGAGGGCCTGGGAGGGGGGCTGGAAGACAATGGGGTTCTTGGTGGACTCTTCGGTGAAGCCAGTCTCTTCTTTGGCGCCAATTGATTTCTTCTGCAAGAGATCTGCAAAAGACATCCCCCCTGTGCTACCCGCCACCCCGGCCACCTAGCCCTACCCACAGGGCCTCCTGAGGCTCAGTGTCCCAGCCACTGGGGAGGGAGCTGGCTCCAAGGATCTGGACGCCTGAGCTATAGGATCATGGGCACCAGGAAGACTCCAGAGTTCAGGACAGAGAATGAGACGGGAGAGGAGGAGAAGAGAGGTGCAGGACGGGCAGGTGCCAACAGGCCGGGAGGCGGCTGGGGTCAGGATCAACAGCCCTCCTAAACCAGTGAGTCGTCCTTCGGCGGGGTTGGCGTTAAGGCACAAGTCCCCCAGGCTGCCTCTGTATCCTTCTTTCTTTCTGCTGGTGCCTTCTTTGT